TTTTAGGGACTTCTCTGAAGAGTTCCTGAAGCATTTGATGCCTGCTGTTATTTAGCCTCTGTACATGTGTTTTATTATTATGAATTGAGCTTTCATCATGTTTTTCAAAGAATGTGGATTTCAGGTATCTAACATTGAGCCACTTTTAGTACCAAGTTCGAAAGTATGGGCAACAACTGTAAAGACAATAAGATTCATTATGACGCCCATTCCAGTTGACTATTATCTTCTTTTAAAGTCCTGTAATATCTCCAATGTTTTGGTTTTATTCTTTACTGTTTTGTTCAATTTTATTATAATTGATGATATAGCCAATTCTTTTTAAGATAGCAAGAGGCAGTATGGTAACCATTGTTGATCACCTAGTATTTTGTTTTTACATTTTCTATTATGTCCATCCTTTTGATTTGACTGACTCTGTTCTGTTATGTCACATTTGGTTTTACTCTCTTGAAAAAAAAGTAGTAAGAACTGTGGGAGTAATAAAACCCAAAATGTGTAATTGTCATTGTACAAAAGAAAGGAAAAGAAAGTGCTCTAAAGAATATAACTGCATATACATTTAAGTGTATAAGATAGATAACCATATTACTGAGTTTTGTTGGATCATTGAACAGAACTGTTTGCAGTCTCACTGTTTGAAAGTCACTTTATATGCTTTAATTTTGTAACTTGAACAACTATTTCTAAGATAACAATATGTAATCTATTAACTAGTGATTTCCTATTGTTTACTTTTTCTGAAATTCTGTATAACTTGTACCTTTTTTTTTTTTCTTTTTCTCCTTAAAAAAAAAAAAACCTTCTAAAAACTACTAGTCTACAGACTTTGGCAATAGACTGAACTTACTTTAGAGGTATAGAAGAACAATAGAAGGGAACTAAATAATGTTGTTGAACAGGAATCAAATGTATCCTTGTGATTTAGGTGTGAGTGTTCAGAAGAATGCCAGTGTTATCATCAAATGTAAGGCAATAGTCAGGCATGGTGGCATATGTCTGTCATCCTAGCACTTGGGAGGCTGAAGGAGGAGGATTATTGCAAGTTCGAGGACAGTATGGGCTATATCATTCAAGGGCAGCCTTAACTACATAACAAATCAAAACAAACAAATAATAAAGAAGTAAGGCCTTTGTAGCTGAAACTGATTTATGGAGGGATGAATTTAGGGATGGACTGGATTTAAATCTTCGAGGAGATACCCATGTGATTATATTTAGGATGTACTACTAAATTTAAGATGAGTGTAGAAGAGATTTGGGCTGAGTGTAAATTATTGCTTCAGGGAGAGGTAGAGCCAAAACATTGAAAATTGGTGACAGTAGATAATAATCCTATGATTATAATTTTTGACTAATACCTGCCTACTTGTTGAATAAAATCTGAAAGAAAGAAAATCAGATCACTGATGGGAAAAATAACACATATATTGCTGGAGAAGGTAGGGAAGAATTGCACCATCAATAATGCTGAAAAGCTGAAAGACATCAAAATGCCTTGAAAAAAAGTTTTTAGGTTATTGATTCATTTGGCAAAAACAATTTTCCTAACATACTTAAGGCAGAAACCATATTATGTGTTGTTTCCAATATCCCTCCTTTCAGTGCCAAGTTTTTGCTTCTCTTTTCAGCTGGAACTCTTTGTTTAGTCACTGTCTTCATGGAGTAATCCATAATGATTCACAAATCCATTCCTGGAAGCATAGGATTCATCATCTATAAATATAGTTGTAATACTGTATTCTTTTCTGGAAATATGCTACCTCCAGCTGTTTCGAATCAAAGCTTATCCAGGTAATAATAACATTTTCTGAAATGCACTGAAATGATTTTCTTTAAAATGTCATCAGCAAGCGTACTTCCTGAATGCTTCATGCATAGGACTTACATTTATTATAATTGGCATTACAGAGGAATGAGTAATGAGATCCTCCTTATGACCAGCTCTTCTCTTACATCAAGTGTAGTGGGTTTTTATAGAAGTGTACTTTATCTTTTAATAAAAATCCTTGAAAAACTTCTTTGGAGCGGCTGGGCCACCTGCATGTGCAATTTGTAAGGCAAGGTAGTTAGGTGTAGCCCCTTCTGTTTTTGTCTGCCCAGAATGCTGGGATAGGGTATATAAGACTCAGCCTACATGATAATAAAGTGGTTTTGATGAGCATTGCCACTGTTATTTGCATTTTATGGGCTTATTTCTCTCTTTGTATATGTATAGTTGCAGTTTAAATAAGTTGTCTGAGCTTCTTGACTGATTTGAAAAAATGAGATGGGATTTTAATCCAGCTCTTTCTTTCTTTACATGGCCCATGCAGTTTTATTATTTATTTAACATTTGAACTGTAACACCTTTAGGCATTGTTCACCCCAGTATAGGTGCTCAGTACCTCATTACTGGCTCTTTTCTATCACATTGGGAAGAATATATCATACTTTTCATTTGCAGAAATAAGCTTATGGCCATATGCTGTTGTATTGAATCAGCACTCACTATTCTTTATATTTGATTTTCACATCAACCTAATGAAAGCTAGGTACATTTTTCTTCAGCATTTTCTTATGAAACACTTATACTTACCACCTAGATTTAGCATTAATATTCTACTCTATTTATTATGTATCTGTCATTTTTCTGTCCCTTGTAAACTTGTTAAGTTTTCAGGCAGTTGAAAATAAATTCTAAGCATCACTATTCTCTAAATACTTCAGCATGTATATAATAGACTAGAGTTTGGCATCTAAATTTAGATTTTTTTCTTATTTAAAATTACATTTCATGAAATGCACAAATCTTAAAAGAGCACATTCTCTGAGTTTTGATAAATGTATATACCAGTGTGACCAAAATACCTGTCAAGATGCAACACGTTACTGTTGGTGAGTGCCTTTTTTTATTCCCCTTTTTAGATGAGAGAACTGAAGCATAGAGAGGTTAAATAATCTGCTTCAGGTTACATTGCTAATACGTGGCAGAGCTGGAATTCAAACTGGCAGTCTGTCTGTAGGGTTTGTATTCCTAACCAGAACCTCATACTGCCTGTAGATTATCTTCTCATATTTGGGTGCACAAATATAATATCTGTGTTTAACCAAAACGTGGAGACATGAAAGTGGTATCTTGGGTTTAGTCAGAGTAGAAATACTGTACTAGAAATGGCCGTTCCTCATAGGAGGTTTATGGCAGGAGAAATTAACGGAGATAGCTCATTGTTACAAAGAAGCTACTTTCCTTGAAGTACTAGAGTAAATTAATAAATAATATCTTAACTGGCATCCTTGATTATTTCCACACATATTGGTAATATGACAATGAATTCACTAATGTATAACTCTGAAACTCAGGAAAATCCTAAAATGCCATTTGAATAATTAAGGGTTAATTATATTCAGTATAGTTTTGAATTAATCATTTTTTGCTTTATGCTAATTGGTAGAAAATTATTCGCTTATGTGTGGTATACATGGTGACATTCATTTTGGTATCCTAGATTCTAAAATGGAAGCAACTAATTTATGATTTATTAAGAAATTTAAGGTTTATTAAAAAATTTATACACAAAAGAAAGAATATAAAAATTTAAGAATTGAAGCAAATTAAAAAGACTTGTTTGTTGTTTATAATAGGTGAGTCATGCCCATAAAAATAAATTATTACTCTCCAGTATTGTTCCTATTGTTTTCCACTACTGAAAGGATGAACAGCTATCGTGCAGTTCTTTGGATTTTTTTTTTTTTTAATAAAGGGTTTTTTTGTTTGTTTTTTATTTTTTAATTCCAATTTATTATAGTTAGCACAATATAGTCACTAGAGGGCAGAGTAGTACTGTACTTTGGACCATATTTGAAAATTTCTGTTTAAAAAATGCTCAACATAATGGAAAATATCAACGCACATATGATAGAAATTTCTCTGCATCATATTGTCTTGCTGTGAAATCCAATAATATGCTTTACACTTGTGTCAAAGGAGCTTTTCTGGCAATTACATTGATTGCTTCCAAAAGGGCATGATTATTTACAAGAGTGTAAGTAACCCTCAAGAGAAAATACTAATACTTACAAAGAGTGGTGCATTAAATCATTTCTACTTTATGAAGTACACTAAAATGGTATGGCAGTATCGACAGTAGGTTAGACATGAGAGAGCAAGTAACTTTGAGACCAGTTCTTTACTGGTACTTAACTCTGAGCACTCATTGAAAGTCATTTCATTTTTCTGGCCAGCTCAATGTATTAGATCAAGATTTTGAAATTATAAAGTTGTAAAAACAAATTATTTCCTTTTTTAGATGTTAAAATTGATCTAGTGATTATTTAATTTTTATTCTAAATTTACTATTATTCTGATAAATTTTATGATTTATTTATATATTTAAAATATTCTAGAAACAAGTAGGTCAGAAAAAATTTTATTCTATACTATGAGCAGTTTGAATTTATAAAAAAGTTAAGGTTTATATTATATCTGACCTATTAGGGTCAACGTAGGATCCCAGAAAAAGCAATGGCTTTTGGAATCAGAAGATTTGAGGCCCCAGTGATCATTTGTTTGCTTGTAACCTTGAGCAGGTTACTTAGTTCTGTGACTTACATTTTTGAAATTGGAAAAAACATGTCCTTGTTTACAACTGGTTGTTTTGACAATTGTGTATGTCTTTGTGCGTATCTTCAAAAAGAAAGCCTGATAATGATAAATTTTAATAGATGTAAGTTTAGGAAAACTTGAGCAATCACATTGGAATGATTGATTGTATCAGAAATCTAATAACATGAGGGCATTTAAAACATGTGCAGTAGAACCAAAAATGCGGTTTCAAAATAGAAACCCGAGATTGCCAGTGTCTTCTCTGTCTCTGAGTTTCCCTGACTGCTTAATCTCTGTAAGTCCTGAATCCTGCGCTCCTGTCAGCTCTATTTCTATCCTCTGGTTATTTCCACGTTTTCTCTCTCTGTGTTTCTCCTGACTGTCTTTGGTCTCTCTCTGTGTTTTTCTGTCCCAGGCACCCACAGGAAGATCCCAAGCCTCTAGCAGTACCTCGTATCATCTCCAGCATGTTGTAGATGTGGAGGATTCACTGGGATATTGAGAAATACCAGAGGCGAATTGTTCCACTGTAGTAAGTCACTCAGCATTTATAAAATGACTACTATTTGTAAAGTACAGTCTACTTTGAGGCAAAAGAATGAGAGAGGGCCCAGTGCAAAAGAAATAAACTTGTATATTCTTCATACTGGCTCTGCATACACATCCAAATGAAAATAACAAAAAATTTAAAGGAGACAAATATATAAGTCAGTTGTGTTGTATGTATGTTGAAGGGATCAGAGCTAATAGAGTATAAAAAGCCAGGTTTCCTGTAGGAGTTTCAAATTAGGTTTTGAAATATGATTGGAGAAGAGAGAGGGTGAATGTAAGTAATTTCTGTGGGGCTTTGCAAGCCTATTCACTTGCCTTGGAGTGAAACCCTGATTAGGAGAGTTGTGATACTACAGTGCCAAATTTCAGCTTTTCATCACTTAATTTTCCTTAAGCTTCCAGCCTTAGAAAAATTGAGTACAACCAAGCTATAATGTTCTATAACATAATTGGTATCTGTTGCCAACTTTAGAATATCTTATAGAATTTAATGGTAAATTATGATGAAGTAATAGAATTGTTATGACAAAATTAATACAAAGTATGTGAACATTTTAAATGCCAAGATGACTTAGAATAGTAACTGTAGTATAATGTCTGTTTAGTAATTGTGTTGGAAATTTGTTTTGTGTTGTGTTTTTACCAATCCTCCCTTGGAAGTTTTACCCAACCTCCACCATGATTTTTAGACTTTGTTATCAGAGTTTGCTAAGAATGGAATCCCAGTGCTTCTAGCAGTGTGACATTGAACCAAGGATTAAAATGTTTACCTCAAAGTGTTGTACGAATTAAATAATTTTATTAAGTTCTTAATATATGCTAGTACTTGTTACTTGCAGACACTTAGAAATACCTTTGAAATAGTTTGTTAAATACAGGATTATTTCTGGCAGTCTTTTAAAAATAGAAGAAATCTCATAGTATCTAGAAAATGCTGTATATACAAAGAATATTTATAACGAGCTAAAGTACTAAGAATATTAACATGAACAACTGAGTACCAACCCATCTTGGTATCTTTCTAGCTCACTGTGTGCTCATGCCAGATCCTCTTGGCCTCTTCACCATTCCTAAATCATGAGCTTGTTACTTAGAGGTTTTTCTTTATAGTTTTTCATTTACTTACTCCCTGTGTTAAATTTTGCTTACTACTGAATTCCATATAAATAATATAACACTTTATGTTTTTTCCTGCAGCCCTGATTTCTTTTTGTTACTGCATCACATTTATCACGAGTCATCTCTGCTTATAGTTGTAATTCATGACTGAAGCTGTTTGTCGTGTTTCACTGTATGAAAATACCATAGTTTACTTTCTTTTGGGGCTCTTTAGGCTGTTTCTTCTCAATCTCTTTTTCTCTGTCTGTCTGTGTGTCTGTCTGTCTCTCTCCCTCTCTTTCTCTGCCTCTCTTCTATTAAAAATATGCTTCAGAGTACAAATTCTTACGAGTCCTACACACGTTCTCTTTATTAGTTCCCTAGGATTTATGCTGAAGAGTAGAATGCTAGGTCAAAGGTATGCCATTAGCAGTGTTAAAGTGTTCCCTATTTTTCCTATTGTTTAAAATTATTAGATTTCTGTTTAACATATTTATACCTTTATGAATGGTCCTCTGTGAACATTACCCTATCTGGGCAGACATTTAAAAGTAGAAAAGATTTTTAAAAGTACTTACGATCTCAGTAATAATTTGGATAACCCTCATTTTTTTAAAGTTAGTTTTATTCTTTGCAGCAGCTACTGTTATTTCTCAGTTTTCCAGTTGTCATTCACACTTTTTCTCAGACTCAGTTAAGTCTAGACATCCTGAAATAGCTGGATTTATTTGTTCACTGTTTCTTCCTCCAGAAAACCATGTCATATTAATACATTGTTCTCTGATGATGAGTTAAAAATGTCTGCTCTTTCTAATTTCAAAAGGCTGCTCCGCAGAGAAACGTACGTATCTTTTAGTGATTTCTTTTTTCTCCTTAATCCAAATTGAGATAGAGAGAGAGTGACCCACAGAGGACTGTTTGCAAGCTGCAGCAATTTGATCAGCCCATGTTTTCTTTGGCACTGAAAAAATTATAAGCACCTGAGTACATTCTCAAGTTGTATTTGCCACTCTTGGCCCTTTTTATGTCCTTTACCCACTCTTTCTTAGCTAGTAATTCTTTTGTTAACTGATGATACTTACATACTTTGTTTCAATTCTAGTATCAAAAATTCCTTCTTACCTCATAATGGGTACTTGGGATCCCCAATTTTAACATGACAGATCTCAGTATTTTGTCTGTTGTCAAGCTTGTTGCCTATATTCAATACATCCATTTTCTGAGGTCTTCTGAGGAAAGAGAGTACGATTTAACCTATTGCTTAGCATTTAACTATTTAATAAATGTTTATTAAATATAGACAGAAAGATATAAATGCAGTAAGCCCTGTTGTGCCCTTCCTCTGCTCAGTGACAGTAATTTTCCTAAAAGCACTGGGCAAAAATGTCATGAATATTATAAATAATTATACTAGCAAGTGGCCTTATTAATCCATAAACGGTTCATTTCTTGATCTTCACTCTGCTTTTTTAGTGAAATGAGAATGGTATATTTTGTGTTCTTTTAAATCAAACGAAAAATAGTTTCTCACTATTGGAAACCACGTAATACTTTAGGCCTATAATTGTATCATAGCGACTTGCTGCTATTGTCTCCCGTGACCACAGCAAATAAGGCATACATTGAACTTTGCTTCCTCTGTTTGTTATTTAGGGTTGATTTGTTATAGAGAAAGAATACATTCATCCTTAATAATGCATAATGAGTGACTTTGGCTTCCCAATTTCATTCATGGAGCAGCCCAGACATTGTTGAGTACTAAGCTCAGCTTCTCGCCTCTTGTTTCTCCTTCTCTTCCCCAACCCTACAGCTGTGAGCAGGGCAGCTTGTCACACTCTTTGTTGTTTGAATTACAACTTCACCCCATGTCTTTTCTCATATTCCAGTATCTTCTTAAAAGAGGCAGTGTTGGTTTCTATGTGCTGGGCTTTTCCTTGAAGTCAAGAGATTAGCTTTATCTGGTGCTCAAAGTGAGCTGTCCCTTACTTTCTAGTTCCTCTGCTAGGAGCTCGCCTCCAGACGAGTTCCTTTCCTTACTGTTTCCTTACTGTCTTTCTACTGTCATTGCAAAAACTTCCCCATAACTGTATGTACCACGCGTTACTTTCAAGGGTAACTCCTCAGATTCCCACATATTTCCTAGTACCTCCCTTGTCCAGGCTTCATTTTGTGAATGCCTCAACTCTGTGCCAAAGGCGGGAGTGCCAAAGGTTGGAATGCAAAAGGTAGAGAACACAACTGTATCTTAACTCTGCTTATAAACACAGGTCTGTCACTCCTGAGATCCATGGTTTTGCCTTAGGCAAAGTCAGGTACGTTCTTCCTGACCTTTGCTCAGGGTCTCAAAATTATCTAGCCTTATGTTATTGTTATGCTTGATGAAAATAAAGTCTGACAAACGTTATGGTAAAGAAGAAAATGGTGTAGAAGAATTTTGTCTCTAAAAGAGAAGAAACCCTTGTGTAATGAAGGCTGCATTTCTAATAATAATCACTTAATTCTAAATCAAATTTGGAATTCTAAGTCACCTTAGATTTTTTAAAATCTTAAGTTACTTATTATTTAAAGGCTCATTGTTATCTTCCCACTTCTAAACTTTCATACATTGGAGGCATGAGAGAATCACTGGCCTGTACAGCTCTGAGGAGTAAGAAGCCAGACTGACAGTTCACCTCTCCTGTCTTAGTCACCGTCAGGACAAAATACCTGACACCAACAATTTAAAAGTGGAGTGAGTTTTTTTGACTCGCAGTTTCGGTTCATACTTGGCTGGCTCCAAGGCAGGAAAGGTCTGGCGGAAGACAGCTGCTCACTTGAGTCATGGCAGCCAGGAAGCAGGAAGAGGAGGGAGGAGCTGGGGACGGTGATTAAGCACAACTTTCATATTATGCCCTCACCGCCCACCTCTAAAGTGACAGAAAGTCAGCAGTAGTGCCCTGATCTAATCAGCTTCCAAAAAATTCCAACTATGAACACATGAAGCTTTTGGGGGACATTCCAGATCTAAAGCGTTACACTGCCAAACTGCTTACTTGTTAAAACTCTTGAGAAACCATCCTGCACCAAATGTTTAGTTCTTTACAGAAGCAGTATCAGCCTAGCACAAGAAGAACACATTACTTTTAGCTCCTCAGGAATGCAAGAAGTAGCATGTTTCTATGCTTCATAAGAGGAAAAGGAGAAAAATTATCTGACATGAAAACTTTACTGATACAAAAATAGTTCCTCCAGCCACTCTAAAAATTATCTCTGATTAATGTAAAAAAGGTTCAACCTGCTAAGTATTCACATCAGTACTTTTAAATTATCAGTGATAAAAGTTTCTTTTGTAGTATTAATTTATTTAGTATTTTATTAATATAGTCAGATTTGAAAGTGCTCCACCAAACTCATTTAATATTCTTACTTTGTTTTCTGAAAGTGATCTGCATGTTCAGATTTAAATGAAACAAACACAAAGCTAAAATATAGTGTCTTTAAATATAATAGAAAAATTTATAAACATGATACAAAATTTTATTTCTGAGGTTCTACAAATGCATTTGTGACAAGTTCTTCATTCGAAGTGCCTAACTTGGAAAACATTTTAAATGCTAAATTAAGAATGAATTTTAATTATATATTTATCTTTTACTCTTAGTTTGCATCTGTTATACAGCAAAGCTGGTGATAAATATGAAAGTAACCTGAAAGTTGGTGTTTATATAGTCAAATAATTACACAAAAATAGATTTATCTATATCATTAAAAAGCACTTTATTCAGAGAGTTTCACACAGCTTTATTCAAATTTAAATGTTGCTAGAATGACAATATTCATTCAGGTTCATATATGAATAAGAAAGTAGTAAAATGTTCAAATTGTTCTATAAATTCTGAGGAA